CTGGGGTTGTAAGTACCACCATTTTCCTTTTGGGTTTTGTTTTTTCCTTCTTTTTTTTTTTTCGGTCTTTTTGAGACAGGGTCTCCTATAGCCACAGATGGCCTAGATTTACTAGCTGGCCTCAAACTCACAGAGATCCACCTGCCTCTGCCTCCCAAGTGCTGCAATTAAAGGTGTGAGCCACCAGTTTTGTTTTTTAACAGGTACTTGGGATAAAACTCAGATCCATGTGCTTGTGACACAAGCACTTTACCAAATGAGCTAACCCCCAGCCCCTGAAGTTATGCTTTTAACTTTAAACCACTTGTTTTATAATGGCAAAGTGAACATACCCATGTAACTGATATTGAGTACTAGAAGTAAAATGTTATTCAAGAAAGTGATGAAAGCAAGCAAAATAAACTGTAAAAAAAACTATAACGAGTCTTCTAAGCTTGTCCTTATCTTGAAATTATATCTTTATTTTTTTCTTTGATGCTAATGCAGAATTTTCCCTTGGGAAATATTTGTAGATCTGAGTTTGTTGGCTGATTTTATTGTCTTTAACTTGACAAAAAGATGAGTTATCAAAGTGGTCTGGTCTCCCTACCTGCTTCTGAAAAGCAGTCTTTCTTAAGCCATGAAATCTCAGAATTTGTACTTTTGTCTATGAGAATTGACAGAAAGGTAGCTTATTTGTTAAACACGTTAGACATGAAACATATTCAGATTTGTTTAACCTGTAAATAAAACCAAGTAAATAAAATTTTATTCAAGAGAAAAGAGAAATATTTTCCTGTATTTTGGGGGACATATTAAAAGTAGTCATTTTTAAATTTATGAGAAAATAAATCTAAAGCACATATTTTCATATTAATTTTTATTGTTTTAATTTGATAAACATCTTTTTTGCAAATTTTAGTTTATTTACTACCACAGATGATGTTTAATACTAAGTAGCCTATGGTTAAACATTAAAACACTGCATCCTGTGCCTGCTTGAAGATGCGAGACTCTGCTTTCTGCTCCTACTCCGGCCTCCCCACTGTGACGGACTCAAATTCCCCTGGAACTGGATGCATGGAGACCACCTCTCTGACCCTCTCGGCCACAATTCCCTAAGGAAGGATGGAGAATCTACTTCCAGCCCACCATAAATACCGACTCTCTTCTAGAAGCTTCCCCAAGGTCTGGGCTGAAAGGAATCCACTCGGGACCATACAACGGTAGTAGCTGAGCTATTGCCTGAAGCACATCTGGTAAAAGTCTGACAATATCCGTTGTCTCAAGAGGCAAAGATTGGCATCCAGGTTTATCTTCAGAGACTATTAGAGTTCAGACTGCTCAGAAGTTGCCAATCTTCATGGAAAATTCCACTGTTACCCATGAAGAAACCAGCACCAATGACTGTTGACCTGTCCAGGATCTATGGGTCATCAGCCATGCCACTGCGACCATCCATCTGGTCATCCCCAACTCTTACGCTCTCCTAGGCCTCATACCTGCTGCAGCATATTGGTTCACATGCCTGAATCTGAATTATGCCTTCTTCACATGCCTGGTCCATATTCTCCTTCAGTTGGAAGGGACAATTGACTTGCACTTGATATGTCCAAGGATTCAAGCTACCCCACAGTATTTGGAGAAGCCCTGGCAGGTGATCTGGAACACATCCCAAATGTGGAAGTGAAGCACACACCCCGGAAATGGATGACTTACTGCTGGCAAGTACAACCATGAGGGACCGTGAAAGCGGAGCAGAAACCCTGCTAGATTTTCTCCAGGGAGGTAGATAGGAGAAGGCCCAAATCTGCGAAAAAGAAGTTAAGTACTTAGGGTTTCAGATCTCAAAAGCACATCAGGCCATAAGGCCTAAACAAAAGAAAGCAGTTTGGACCCTCCAAGTCCCTAGGACCAGGAGACAAACTGGAGAGTTTCTGGGGGCAGTCTGCTTTAGATACATCTGGATGCTTAATTACTCACTGTTTGGCAAACCCCTTTGTGAGGCCACAAAGGGGGGAGAAAATAAACCATTTGAATGGGGACAGCAACAGATGCCTTCCTTACTTTTAAGAAGGCCCTGCTGGAAGCACCAGTCTTGAGACTTCTTGATGTGACCTGGGAATTTAACCTGCTTGTTCATTAGAGGAGGGGAATGAAGCTGGGAGTCTTAACTCAGAATGTAGGGTCCTGGTGATGACCTGTGGTCTACCTGTCCAAACAAATGGACATGGTGGCAGCTGGGTGGCCACCTTGCCTATGAGCCCTGGTGGCCACAGACCTCCTGCTTGGGGAGGCTGAAAAGCTGATCATGGAACAGTACCTAAATCTTAAGGTCCCACATGAAGTCATGACCCTAATGGACCACTGGGGGCACCACTGGCTCATATGATCTAATACCAAAGTGTCTTATGCTGAAATCCCTGAGTTCGCTTAGAAACCATAAAAACACTAAATACAGCCACTTTTCTACCTGGTGATCTGGGACCTCCAGACCATGATTGCATTGAAACAATGGATGAGGTATATTTGGTTCCCCCAGACCTCACAGACCAACTTTCCCTTCCCCAGATGGAACCCTCTAACTGGTGGAAGCAGCTTTCTGTTGATTTCTGGCCTATTTTGTTTCTTCATCTTGCTCCCCTGGCCCCTGCTCAGCCTGCTTTCTTATGCAACACAGGCCCACCTGCCTGTGGTGGCACCACCCACAGTGGGCTGGGCCCTCCCACATCACTCATGAAGATGCCCCTCAGACATGGCCACAGGCCAGTCCAATGACGGTAATTCCCCAGCTGACACTCCTTCAACCCAGGTGTGTCAAGTTGACACTAAAGGTATCCACACAATTGGGAAGTGTTTGGCAATATATGCTGTGGTAACAGAGTCGAGGAAATAGTCAGAGGACTTCCCAGTAAAAGGATCAGTTCAATGCACAGAGCTTTCAGCCCTAACCAGAATCCTGGAATTGAGTAAGGGAAAAGGGTAAAATCTACATACACTAGAGCTATGCCTTTGCCCCGCTCCAGGTGTACTGGGTCCTCAAACCAAGATCTTATGCCCGTAGAAGCAGTTTGGGACCAAGTGACTGTTACCATCATTCACTGTTGAGGACATTAGAAGTCTTCATTACCAAAGAAAATCGACAGGTGAATAAGGAAGCAGGACAAGCAGCGATGATCAAGTGACACGAGTTCCTTCTGGCAGAACCTTCATGGCTTCTAGTCCCACCCAAGCACCAAGCTACATGTGAGAAGAGGGGCCTGGGTGAGTCAAGATGATGATCAAGTGACACGAGTTCCTTCTGGCAGAACCTTCATGGCTTCAGCCCCACCCAAGCACCAAGCTACATGTGAGAAGAGGGGCCTGGGTGAGTCAAGAGAAAGGAACCGAGAGCTCAAAAGGATGATGGCTCGTTCCTGACAGATGCCCCTTTGTCCCCATGGTTTATCATCTTTATGAGAACACTCAAATGGGCAGGACAGCATTAGAGACCTTAATAAAATGCTGTTACTGTGTGGCCACAGTCCCCATGCTTTGTAGGACTATAACCTAGAGATGCCAAACTTGTGCCTGCAGTGATGCCAAACAAGGGCCCTCCCAGCCACCAGGAATATACCAAACTGGACAGAGCCTATTTGGATATCTGGAAATAGACTTTACTGAATTACTGCCTAGTGGCACCCAAAGGATTCTGTTAAATTTGTGGCCATACTACTGACTCTGTGCTGCCAAGTTGCTGTTTTAGAGTGCGTGTCCTGGGAATCATCAGGCCTTCCCTTTAGCACCAGTAGCACAGACATGTGGCCCCTAAAAATGCCATGCTAAGTCAAAAGAAAGAGATGAAACCCCCACAACCTTATAACAGAAAATTGGAAAAATGATGAATGACCACTTGAAAGAATAGTCAATATTATGGGCCTGCTGCTTGGTCAGAAGACAGCTTGTGGAGATACAGGACCCCATTTGCATGCTGAATCTCACAACTGCAGGGGCTATCCTAGAGATTATAACTGACGATACTGCTTGAACACTGTACTTGCAGGCAAAACACCACGCCAAGGTCTGAAACCCCATTTACTGGAATAGGCTAGCGCTAGATTATCTGCTGGCAAAAGAGGAGAGGTGTGTGGAAATTTGAATTTAACCACCTGTTGTCCAGAACTAGGTGAAATAGGAGATGAAAAAGATTACCAAAAAGATGCAAGAAGTGTCCCATGTCCCAGGTCAGACCGGGAATAGACGCAGCCCTGACAGACTATTTGGAGGCTGGTTTTCTCAGATCAGAGGCTTTAAGACCCTCAGAGGGGTTATCTGTTTACACTATCTAAATACCCCTTGCTTACTTCCCTGCTTGGTAAAATATGTAACAAGATTCATAGATCTAGTTGTAGAAGAAAAGACTACAACCCACCTCCTGCCTCTCCCAAACTACCAGCAACTCAGCATGGAAGATGCACGGGAGGGTTATGGCCTCTAGACAAGTGGAGAGGCATCCAAGAGGGTGACCAAGATAAGAAAACCAGGGCGGATTGAGAAACAAAACTACAAGAACATTATCTTGAAAAGCAGCTGCCCAAGGAAGGGTCACTTCAACCTTACTGTGTCTGCCTATCTGTGCCTGGGGACGTCTCTCCCACCTTACCAAGTTGGATTTTTCTGGAAATGTGTGAGTCAAGGGGTGACTCAAACAAGTACAGAGATGACTTTCTTTCTCCACAAGGTTCCCAGTGTCCCAAACAACTAGAAAGCATCTGCATTAAGACTCTGAGAGATACAAGCAAGGGTAGGGGCCATGGACACTGAAATGGGCTATAAATAACAAGTAATGACAACATCCCTGAAATACTTGGTTTTTGACCTTGCATCTTTGTCAAGCATTTTGCAAGAAGTTTTCTATTTTAAGAGTTGATACATTAGTAGCCAACATCTAGACCTCATGTAAAGGGATAGGCTCAGGCATTTAATATTCTTTACATGGTCACTGATACATAGTTTAAAGAAATTTATGGGCACTGTTTAGCAGTTTGTGTGTGAGTTTGTTTAACTGGGGGGAAAAGGCATGAGAGACTGGTACACAAATAAATCCTATTTTGCAAACCAGAGCTCATTGGTCAGTATGAGTTTTCATACATGCAGGAAGCAATATGACAAAACAGCTCAAAGTGAGGATACTGAGAGAGAAGAGAGCCTAGGAATGGGGCATGCACTAGGCAGCTGACCTTTGGGCCCAGGCCCAGCTGACTCCCAAGAGACTGAATGTGCGTGATGGACCATGTAAGGAACCTTATCATATAAGATGAATATCGACCTGACCATTCTACATTGACCTCAAAATTCTGAACTCAGGACTTGGCAAGTAGGAGGGAAAATGATGGCAAGCCAAGGTGGGACAGCCGCAGGGGCCTGGCTGCCCGCAGGTGCCAGTGGGGTGAAGCTGAGCCGCCCTGCCTGTACACCCTCCCTGGAGGCACTTATGGTCAGCTGACCATCATCGTCACCCAGTGGCTGTCGAGACCTCGCTGCAGTCCTCAACAACATAAGCTTAGAAGTCTACAGATTTCTTAAAATCAACCAGAGGACACTGGTGTAAAGCTGCCATGAGAAGTTATGAAACTTCCCTACTAATGCCACTCAGAATCTTGGATTGGAGGCCTGTGAGCTAATTGCTGCCTGCTGCGAGAACCCTGTGCCCAATCAATCTGTTGGAGAATGCCTTGGTTCAGATTGGGTTCATTGTGCTGAGTGAGGCCAGGAAACACCCAAAGTGTAATGCAAGGGCTGTGAACAACCAACTTTGACGATGAAAATCAAGTGTTGCCAGCTGCTGAGAAAAAGAGAAATCTTTACTTGACGTTCCTAAGTAGTGTGTAAGAAACAGAAATTAAGAGAAAAATCCCATTCCAAGAAACCTGGGCATATTCTGACCAAAATCCACGTACAAAGAAAATGGGCCCCTACTTTCACATACCTCTGTGTAAGAATTATAGATTACTGACCCTCTAATGGGATATGATTTCTGCAGCACCCAACTCAGATGTGTTACGTAAGATGGATGGGGTTTTTCATTTGCTAATAGAAAACATGAAGTAAAGGGGTTGGAAGGTAGGGTTACGGTATAGTTGGGGAGAAGGTCTGAATATAATCAAATTTTAATGGATAAAATTCTTGAATCAATAAAATTTATCTTAAATTTTGTAAAAGAAATTGAGAGGGAGTGAGGGGGACATGGGAGAACTTGGAGGGAGGTTGGGAAATGTTGAAGTGATGCAAATATAATACTCATATATGAAAATGTCAAAAAATTAAAAAATGAAATTAAAAATTATAAGCAAACTAAATTAGAACATTTTTATGTTTGCTTGAATAAATTCTGCTTCTAAATTTAACATACCAGATATAATGGCTTTATGAGAAAAATCAACATGCATATAATACATTTATTCTTCTAAGTAATTAAAAACGGGAATTTTAAAGGGTATTGTGCATTTTACTGTGTCAAATTTCTTTTCCTGAAAATACCATTAATAACAGTAAACTCCTTTGTTTCTAATTTAACTTGTCCAGAAAATTTACAATACTAGAAGTGATCACTGTAAATGGATTAGCATTCCTGGAATAGCCCTTCCAGACAAGAAAATTGATGACAGATTTGCCACATTATCTTTGCTCATGGTAAGACAGACAGGAGTTTACAGAAAGATGATGGAGCAAAACTGACTGTTTTCCAATGAAAATCTCTGTCTGACACTCTTTATCTGGCAACTTTAAATAGCATCCTCATTTTTCAAATCTTCCTCATTATGGGCCCTCTCCAGTCCAGGCAGACAGCTGTTTCCAGTGCATACAACAGACTTAAAACTTAGGAATCCATTGTTTCTCATGATTGTAAAATAGATCGGAAAGTGGCAGGAGGTGGTGGAATGAAAGTGACCAGTAGGTGAGCCCAGGTTTTGTACCAAGTACAACTAAAGATTTCAAACTGCAACTCACAGATTCCACCTCCAGGCACATAGAAATGAAAGCACAAATACTCATTAATTCAAAAATGTTTACACAGTACATTCTGTGTCTGAGGAATTATGTGAAAAGTTTAAAATCACATTGAAAATATTCCAGAAATAACTGAGGAAATAGATTCTTGTATCTCTGTAATTATGTAAATTTCCCCTGTAGGTCTTTTAACATGAAGTCTTTAAAATTACTTTGTTTCCCCAATAAACTATGACTTTAACTTTGTTAGCTATCACAGAAAATTCTAATTGAAATGAGATATATTATTTATAATTATTAAATCATGTAAAATTAAACATTATAAAATTATCCAGTGCTTGAAAGCTTGTAATAAAAACTTAGCAATTATATTTTGTAGGTTGTGTTATAGATTGGTACAATTCTTCTGAAAGGTTATCAAGAAATGACTTTAGTGAATGGAGTCATTGTTCATATCATTTGAAACAGTAACATTCTTGCTCTTAAAAATATATTATGAAAAGACAGCCATGCAGGGGAAAAGAGCTACATGAATTAAAGTTTAAAAATGAACCAGGTTCTTAGCACATGCTGGTAATCCCAATTCTTACAAGGGTGACACAGCAAGATTCAAAGCCACTCTGGGTTCTTCAGTGGGACCTTCTCTGAAAAAGTAAAACAAACAAATTTAAAATCGATATTATTGTAAATTTATTAAAACTAAAGAAGTTAAGGAAGTATATTGTGCCAATTTAATGAAATATAATGCAACCATAATTCTTGCCATAAGATAATGTAAGAGATATTTAAAGATATTCATCACACTTATGTTGGCTATGGTTTAGTGACGTATGTTAGACTAACATTTTCACCTACAGTGACTTAAAAGGCAGAAAAAAACATTTCTACAAAAGATGTAGATGAATGTACTAGCTAATATCTAAGCTGAGGATCTGAGGACCCAGACCCCAGGAGTGGGGGGATGGGGTGCATCCAGCCGTGCCCAACCTCAGATACTGCCTTTTCCCTTAAGGCATTTGCCTGTGTTCAGCACAGATTACAAATCAATAGGTCATGAAATTGGCCAGAGAGACTGAGCAGTGTTTCCAGGTGATCTCTGGTCTAGGAACAGAAAAGTTAGATTTGAAGCTGGGGGCTGTGGGGACCTAAAGGCCCCACCTTGCATAGGTCCGAAAAGAAGTTACTGGGGGCGCAGCCTGGCTTGCTTTGAAAGTCTGAAGAATACTTCTGCACTGCTAGGGAGTGCATGATCAGCACGTGACCATCCTTAAGATACACCCTGCGGGGGGCGGGGGGAGTTCCAGGTGCCTTTGTAAGCTTTGTAACACCTGCAATAAATGAGTCACTGCCTGACTAGACTCCCCGTTGCGTCTGAGTGTCCCCGGGTATTGGGGGCAGCGTGGGCTGGCGAACAGCGTGCTTACTCATCCCCAATCATCACTGCCCAGGGGTCACTGGTTCAAACCCCCCGGCAACTGGCACTCAATGTGGCGCTCAAAGGAAGGTGAAAAGAAGAAAGAAAGAAGGTAAACAGATTTGGGCCAATCAGAGGTTCAGTGTAAGCAAGACCCTAAATATGGGTAACACAACTTTTAAGTTTGAAGACCCAGTGCTTAAAGCGCTTAAAAGCAAGGGGTTGGATTTGTCAGATCCCATAGCTCAAAAGATTTGGGCAAAGGTGATTCATTTGGCTCCCTGGCTACTTGGGGCTAATGTTTTTACCGGGGATACATGGGAATCATGGGAAGGGTTTGAGGAAGAAGGCAGAAATGCAACAGAAGTGAAACCAAAAGCAGCCAAAGTAACAAGGGGCACCTCAGGCATGCCCTGGCCAGCTTCAGAGCCTCCCGAGCAGAAGGGCAGGGCGGAATGGAACACATGGTGGCGAAAGCTGCCCACCCCACCTGCCTTGAACTAATGTGTGCCCGTGGGCCAGCCCCCAGCCGGCAACCAGCAGGAGTCAGGGGCTTGTGGGAAAGCCGGGCAGGGACCGCCACCTGGCCAGCAACTAGAGGCCATGGCCTCCGGGCACATTTAAGGAAAAAACAAAACAAAAACAAAAAACAAAAAAACAACTTTGGCAGTGTGCCGTGACCAGCTCTGGGACAGCTGAAAAGGCCCTGTTTTGGGAAGATGGCTCAGGGAGGGGCCCCACCCCTTCCATTCTGCAGGTGGCCAGGGAACCCGCCCCCCAAGTGGGCCGGCAGCAACAGTCTCCAAATCCCCAGCCAAGGGAGCCCTTAGTAAAGCCTACAGTGTTTTCACTGACTGGGGCAGATGTGGAAAAACCAAAAAGCAGCTCAATTCAAGGAACTCTTGGCCATTGCTTTCTGACAGTATTCAGACCTGTACATTCCTTAAAGAGAGAGAAGCCCCATTTTCTTATAGCATCTTAGGGGGCACCAAGGATTGCCTGGGCTTTTATGCCAAGGCAATGCAGAGGTAGCAGGTACCGCCTCTGCAACAGCCAAGGGTAAAACCCAGGGGACTCAAGCCCAATTCCTTATCGCAAACAGATGTTACACACTATGCTCCTTTTGGAAAGATTTTTGTGTCCATCGACACATTCTCACACTGTTGGGCTACCACTCATACAGGAGAGTCTCATTTTCTCCAGTGCTTTGCAACCATCAAAATCTAAAAATTCAATTACAAAAACAAAAAGGGGGAATAAGCCCCTGCCAACAGTTGGGTATGGCCTTATTCACTGTGAATGTTCTTAATTTTCAAAACAATCAGTTGGAATCCTGGTTTCAGAAGCATTGGGGACGACAAGAGCAGAGACCTGAGGTACAGGTAAGATGGAAGGATCCCATTACCAGGCAATGGAAAGGACCAGATCCATTGCCAACCATGGATTGAGGCTTTGGCTGTGTCTACCCTATAGGGGATTCAAACCCCATATGGGTGCCTGTGAAAAACCTTAAGTGGGCAGGCCAGGATCTGACTGACTAGCATGACGGTCCACGGACATTGTTCATGAGACAAAATTCCTCTCTTTATTTGTATCCATCTGAGTTAAAGGACCCAGTTCCTTGGCTTCATTGCCAGTCAGCCTCTACAACTGGCTGATTGGCTAAAAGGAACATGGTCTCAGAAGTATTTCAACTTGTCCTACGCCATGACCTGCTTTGTTTCTCTTGATAATACTTATCTT